GTTTAGGAATTTAATATTTTATTGCTTTAATATGTTTCCTAGGTAGATTAGAATTAGTCATAGTTAGGATCTATAAATAGGGATGATCCCTCATTTTTTTTCATGTCCTGGAATGAGTTGAATAGAAAAGAATGTTGGTTCGAAACTGTGTGTTAGGATTCGTGAGAGTTCGATCATGCAACCGAATTGGTGAGGCTAAGACCCAAGCCAGTTCAACCGAGTTAGAGAGGCTAAGACCCGATCTAGTTCAAAAGAGTGAGCGAGGCTAAGACCCTAGTGAACTCAAGTATCATGAGGGAGTTAGGCTAATAACCGAGTCGATCACACCTATCATCGAGAGCAAGGCCGTGGCGAAGCCGTGATCGAGACAAGTCGATGGAACACAACACACGATCCGTCATCATTGGTGCTTTCATTGAGAGTGATCGATTGTGTGTTCGTTAACTTTTTCTATCCCATTCTTTTTCTTTTTGTTCAATTTTTTGTTTCTTTTTGTTTGAATTTTTTCGAATTTTTCCTCAAATTTCCAAAAAATTTCGTGAGTATAAAAAAAAAAAGTGTCTTCTAGTCCTTTTGTTTGATTTTTTTCGGTTATTACCTTTTGTTGAGGGGCTTAATTTCTTTTGTTTTATTTTTTCTTTTTGGTTCGACTTTGTTCGAATTATTTTTTATATAGTCTTAAAAAAAAAGAGAGTCATGACGAATCGTGAGAGATTCGATGCACTTGAAGAAAGCGTGAGGTCCCTTGGCATCGGACAACACGTGGTCAATGAGAACATGGCAAAGTTGGAGCTTATGATACACGATTTGGCGGGACAACTCGAGAGAGTCAACCACCGTACGCGGAGGAGCCGCACATCAAGATCAACATTGGCGGGAACGGACAGTTCGATGTCTAGTCGCGATGACGACGACGAAGGGTCGCGGGGAACGCGCGCGACGCGCACTACCCGACACCACGACGATCGCAGGACGCACAGCCATCGGCATCATCGTGAGGAGCACGTACGTGCGAAACCAAAGATCACGATGCCGACGTTCGAAGGAGTAGATCCGGATGCATGGTTAAGTCGTGCCGTGCAATTTTTCGAGATCAATGAGGTACACAAGTTCGAAAGAGTTCAGATTGATGCCTACTATTTAGATGGTGAAGCCAACACATGGTGGCAATGGGTGTCACATGTTTACAAGAACAAGGGCGAGCAAATCAGATGGCGAGATTTTGAGAAGGAGCTGATTGCCAGGTTTAGATCTAGCGAATACTTTGATTATGATGAGGCACTGACAAGGATCCACCAAACCGGTAGTCTACGCGACTATCAAAAGGAGTTTGAGAGGATAGCAAGCCGGGTATGGGATTGGCCCGAAAGGGCACTAGTAGGTGCATTTGTAGGAGGCTTAAAGGCTGAGATGGTTGCGGAGGTACGATTGGACAGGCCAAGGTCAACAAGGGCTGCCATAGAAGCAGCGCGACTGCACGAGGATCATCTCGCGGCAGTGCGCAGGGCCAGACCAAGCGAGGGGCGCACGGACGTTCGGCGCGCGAGCGTCGCGGTCGACGATACGCCCTCACGGGCTGAGGTCAAACCAATAGTCGGCGATGGTACACGCACCACAAGCAACTACCGACGGCTGACGGAGGATGAAATACAAAGGCGAAGAGAAAAAGGCTTGTGGTTTACTTGCAACGAGAAATTTGTGTCAGCCTTAAGTGCAAAGGTAAGGAAATTATTCTATTAGAAATTGAGGAGGAACGAGAGGAAGAAAAGCCACAGGAAGAGTCCTGGTTGCATATGGTTAAGTGCAATAAGCGTGGTCC